TTTCACCATAAGTTGCCTGGAAGAAATTGCTGTTAGCAATAAGGCCAATGTTTACTCGATCTCTTAAATAATAAGCTCCTGTAAACAATGTATTATATTGAGTGCAATAAAGTATTTTATTATTATTATTAAAGTTATTATCAATATTTAAATGTTGACTAAATAGTTGGATTCGTGTGTGGTTAGACTATGAATTGAGCCCACGCTATGCCCACCCGTGTTTTGGTAAACAAATTAATTATGCCAGCAAAACAGTAAAATAAATTCACACGCCATAAGAGGATATACTTCGCCAATCCTATGGCCTAGGCTGGATCTAGGGGGAAGGGGCAACTGGGGGCATTTGCTCCTGGCGCTTGAAGCAGTGCTTCACGGAGCGCAGAGTGGGAGTTATAGGAAGGACGCCAAAAAAGATCATGCCCTAATTTAAAAAAAATCATAAATCCGGTCCTGCCTTTGGCGTGGGATTCTATTGGGTAACTCTTTAAATATAATATAGTGTGACTGTTTAGAGTTAATAATTTTTTATCAAAGATCTTCCGTCATCTTTATAATTATAATGGATTGATGTTAATATAGTTCAATTTTCTATATAACTATATATATAAATCCTGTAATGACAATAGTACTGAAGGTCTAATTGTCATTTTTAAGTAGGTTATACAGTATTACGTCTTATCTAAAACAGAATATTGACAATGTTCAAATGAAGTTAATATTGAGTTTATATTGCTTTGGTTTGAATTAAGTTTAGAAATGAATTTACGAAGTTTTTATTGATATTATCCATTGTTATACATTTTGTAACGGAATTTAATAAGTTTATTTAAAATAGAAGAACGAAATGAACGCTGACTTTAAAATGAATATTGTATTAAATTATCTTAGTTCTTAGAACCTGATCGAAGAAAAGCAAAACTGCTAATCTGAATTCGAAAAAATAGTTTTTTCACATATAGCCAATAAACTCTAAACATGTTTTTTTTTCTAATATCTCTTCACTTTGCGGAGAAATCAGTGAACATATATAAAAAGAAAAAAAGAACACATCGATCATAAAACCTCAGTTTTTTCGATTTTGAAGTGGTTTAAAAAAGTCTTTATAATTTTCTCTTTCATTATCATCATCGGCTTATGAATGTCCCCGTGGATGAAACACAGACCTTATTGGCATGAAAACAAATCAAATTTTTGATCACCCATATACGTCTTCCCTTGCCTACCACTGCACCAACGAACTTTGGTTCATTTTCATAAATCAAACTCATCTTATACCTCGGAAAAAATTAGAGCGAGCTATAACCACCACCATACTGCATAACTCTTGACTCTCGCCCGCGGATCAACAAACGTAAGAGAGTCCTCAGACTAGATAGTGAGACGATCTTCTCAAGTTATCTGGCACAAACTGGATGGAGAGGAGAGGCCCATGTCCAGCAGTGAACGAACACGAGCTGATAATGATAACCACCACAGTTCCAGCAGGTCAATTTTGCTAATATTTAAATAATAATTGCGTCTCAACGACATGTTATTTACCATTGTACTTCCTACCTAAAGTGTTTACAAACCAGTGGCAACATAAAAAACGAATTATACATAAAAGGGAGGCAGAGACAGAGGATTGACGCATTCTGAATCAAAACGCTAGAAAGTTGCTAACATATCTTTCATTTTCTTTATGTTAATATAAATTTATTTAATACGTCACTTTCTACTTATTTTGTATTGAGAAAATTTCATAAATTATTTTTTTACCCTTTTAGAGTCCCGTGCAGTTTTCTAATTTTCAATTACAAATGAATGAATGAATTAGAACGATATTTTTTACACAATAATTTAAAGATTTTTTTTTTGCACGCCCTCTGTAAGTTATTTTAACGATACAATAATAGGTATCAATTATCACGCTCTTTAGATGTTTCGCCTCTATTCACATTGTTGTGCCCACACCAGTTGTTTCTGCGTTTCACCCTAAACAATCTCCGTAAACAATCGTCCCACGGGTCCCGCTTATGTCGATCGTATTGTTTTGTTACGATGTCAGAACCTTTTGTAAAGTTTGTTTCTTTGAAGATTATTAAACAAAAATAAACTTAAACAAAAGTGTTCTCACATAACCGAATTGTTCAGTAACATTAAATGTACATACTTAAAAAGGATAAATAAATACATATATTAGACAAAATCACATATATTTCTTCTCAAGCACTAGTTTTGTAAATTGTTGAGTGTCAATTTTAGTTATTATATGTTTTCTTAGGAAATATTTTCACCTGGAGTCTGATCGAAATGAGTAAGCCACATAAGTAAACTTAGTTTTAGAAACATTGACATTTTCGTTGCAACTATTTACTTTCTCTTTGTTCTTTTTATAATTAAATCTCGTATCTCTTATAAATTTTATTGACCTCGTACTAACAATAAAATACATATTTAAGTATAAAAAAATTGTCTTGAGACCTGATTTCGTTAAACTTTAATGCGTTTGCTTTAATACATGGAAAATTTGCTGAATTTTCGTCACATTTTTTCTATACAATTCACGTCTCTTTGTGATGGTAGATACAATTCAATTTACTCGATGCTGAAACGACCTAAATCAGGAAATTAATAATGAAAATTTTGCCTTGAAACTTCAACTGTTATGTAAAAGTCTTTATAAATTAGGAGCCAAAGTTTTACATTTCAATTTTCTACTAGTCATTGTAGAAATTTCATTTTTCTTTTCCTCTCTCAAGATATCCGTCATTATAGCGTACTAAAGTGAAGCTAAAGTAGCATTTTATCTTCTTGGGCAGCGGTTCCCAAACTTATTTGGTTTACGGTCACTTCGAGAATAAATATTTTTAGCGCCGATTGAACTTAATTATTGGAGATTATATTAGCAATGTTTAAAGATTCATCTTAAATAAGACCTGAGCGCAATAGTCTCAAGTTAACTCTTACTTGAGGAAAATCATTTTCTTATTTTATGTTTGATGCTAACGAGCCTACAAAATTCTTTAAACAAATTTAAATTCCTCATAAATAGCCAAAACTGAAAAAATCATTAATAAAATAGAAAAAAAAAACAATAAATAGCATCATGAAGAGATTAATTATTTTTGCAAAACTAATATGTAAATTAGAAAAGTCGTAACGCTCCACAAGTCATTTGAACAAACATGAGTCGTTTTATGAATATTTTTTCAGTGTAACATTCAATGACACAAATTTAAACTGCCAAAGTATCAAAACCGATAAGTACTAAATGGATTAAAAAATCCATTAATTAAAAAAACAACAATCGAAGCCACATATATTGTATAGATTCTAAAATAAATAGCTAAAGCCCTCGTATTTCGGAATATCTGGAAAACGACCACAATACCCAGACATTAAAAGAAAACCTTTTCATTATCATTATCATTTCAGCCATTTGAAGCCCTCTCCTGAGCATAGACCTCCCCAATGATTCTCCATGACGATCAATCCTGCGCTGCCTGCATCCAGCGTGTTCCCGTAACCTGGATCATTAGATCGTCAGTCTACCCGGTGGGTGGCCTTCACCCTGAGCGTTGTACGGTACGCGCTCACCATATACCTAATATCTGGGGCTATTATTATATGTGATTTCTTCGCCTACTCTGAGAACAAACTATTAAGTAGTAACCGTAATATCCTTTACATTTTTTATTCTATATCTTTCACCAACCCCGCATATTATTTTTCAATATTTAGTTATTGATTGCTATTGACGTGGATACGTCTATGTTTTCGTTCTACAGGGGGGTCATTCTGTGAGCAGGAGTATATGCACTAACGCCATTTATTGGCGTATAAGAGAACTATGCTTGCTCTGCAGGGGAGGGGCATTCTGTCAGCAGGAGTATATGCACTAACGCCATCTGTTGGCGCTAAAAATGGCCCCAATATGAACAAGCATGAATATTTTTTATCAATTACTCATATATCCATTCATACATAGACGTATCCACGCAAAAAATATGGCTGTATCAATGATACAGCCAACCAGGGTTTTTTAGTAATAAGTGCTTTTTATACTATTTCTTTTTCTTGCTGTGTAATTATTATTATTATTTTCCTGTGTTGTTTGCAATAAATCATATTATTATTATTAATTGTATATTTGCAATATTTATATTATGAACAAAGAGCTCGTGGCATTTGACTTGCTTACAAAATCCCTTTAAGCTTTAGGTTCTTGTTAAATATTTACACCAAGATGTTGGACTGTATTAGTTCAACTACTCGTGTTGTAATTCGCACAATCTGTCGCGAAAACTTACAATGTAGTATTGTTAATAATATTATCACGTTTATTCAGTTTAAAAGCCTTATTGTGTAGTAATTTTGGAAAATTTAATGTTACTCAGTTAAACTATCTAATTTAAAGATTAAAGATATTTTATTGTAGATTGAATGAAGGTATTTTAGAAAAACCCAATAAGGTTGTTATAATACATTTACAACATACAATTAGTGTCATTCACCGCTGCACTCTATTTGAAAGGTTGAATATTAAAAGTGCCAAAATATCTCTGACATTCAAAATGCACCATTTAAGCGACCCACATGTCTCACTACAATAATAATTCCTACGTCTATTCAGCGTAATCATTGCTATTGGTATGAAAGGACATGAAGCAAAAAGCATTGAAGAATAGAGAAAAATTATAATAACGACGCAGGAATTAAAATGGGAATCTTGAAAGAAGAAGCTTCCCGTTTAAGGAAGAAAGTAAAAAATTTCAAATGAGAAGAATAAATAGAACTTATGAATAAAGCAGAAAAGCAAAAGGGCGATAAACACGACGTCCATCTATCGACAATAGGAGTAATTAAATGAAAAAAGAAAACCGATAAAAGAAAAGAAGAAGAGTTAATTTTCTTCCCAAACTAGAATACCCTCCAAATCAGGAGTCAATTGCTCTCCAGTAGTAACTATGTTAATACAGAATCTAAAATTGGTGTTTGCTATACAACTCCTATCATATCTAAGCTTTCGAAGAGCAATCAAATATTATCTGAAGACGTACCTGACTCCTTCCATACGATCCGAGAAATCCAATAGTGATAGTCTTCTCATCCGTCCAATTCCGGTACATTACTGGACATAGTTTTGAACCACCACAGTCACTGCTCACTATACTAAACAAATTCACACCATCAGTGTCTATCATGTCCACAGTCACTTTCTCTTCAATGAGATTCGTTGTCACTCTCGAATAAATATTATTAAGGTAAATAGAATCTAAGCTATGAGAATTAATAGATTTTGTATCACTGCTATTCGTAATATTAAGTACGTCACACGTTTTTTTGTGGCTTACAGGGTTTGTTGTTCCCGTTGAATTGGCAACAGCTTCGTTGATAATGTCATCTGCATTTAAAATGATACCGTTGTTCCAATCTTTTGATGTTTCATTTGAAGTTGAGTCGTATATTATTGTATATTCAACTTCAGTCTCATTATTATTATCTGTATCGTTTAGAGGAGTGTAAGTGGTCGGTTTAGCAGCTACGTCGTAAAGTAAAAGAATTATAATTATCAACCGTGTTTCGCGATTCGCCATTGTGTTCGAACCCATTCCTCTTGTTATATATTAATCTGAAAAGAAAAACGTACACGTGAGAAACATTGTTGAAATATAACATAGAAATGTCGAGGAGGATCATTATTATATATTTTTCTGACATAAAGCATATTGGATTTGTAATTTAATTACAATATTTAATATACGTTAGCTGATGGGTTTGTGTTTGATTTGCGAACTTTTGTAAGGGCCGTCACATGATTAGTGATAAAAAAATCATCATCCCAAATTCCTTACTGCTTCAAAAAGCACATTGGCCCAGGTGTTTGTCCTGGTTGCATCTGCTATCGTGAACATCCACTAGTATGCACAGAGCCCTTGCGGTGGATTAGCTCCCGTTCTCTCGTATTGATCCGATTTGATCCCAACTGTAGAGAAGACATGTGCTCCAGTAAAGCGAATATTAATAGATGATGAAGAAAAATATAAGAAATTAAAAAAAAATGTTAACATTGTCATGACCGGAAATCGAACTCTTAACATAAATAATCTTGTTTGACAAGCTTCTAAGCTAAGTGAATAAAATATAGTATTTTCAATCAAAAATAGTCTATTAACTATGGATTCTTAGAAAGATAGCACTAGAATGAAGACGCTGCGCAAAACGTAGACATCTTTGGTAGTGACACACTTGGTATCCATTGAAACCGCGACTGCTTCTTCTGATTTATTGTTCCCAGATAATTCCAGGAAACGACTGTTAATATAAAATCAAATTGACTTTTTTTCTGATAGATACAATTTTAATAATTAACACACAATATCAATATTATTATTTAAATATCTAAACACATGTGCTGTTGTTGTTTATATTATCATTATTATTATTGTTTCTATAAACAAACGGCTCACAGTTTATCATCAAACAGTAACTAGAAACACAGCAGCACTTACTACTAGCTACTAGGGACAGGAAATTGTATACTAGGTTCCCTGAAATGAAATATGTGAGCGCAAAACAAAATGGTTTCTTAGAAAACTCACACCCAAATGAAAGGATGAAAATAGATCAAATAGGGTGAGTTGTAAATAGATATATATGTGAAGCTGAAGTAGCAAACGTTAACGATAAATTCATTGTTTTGTGTCAATCGACTGGGAGTAAAACCCGTCTGAATCACGAGCCTTCGTTTACGCAAACCGGACCTACTAATTCCCATTACCTACATCTATGTTATATCCCACGCTAGCAAAATCCTACTTCACATAATCAACTCGAGACTGCGCTCTTTTCTGGACTCTGAATTCCACAGGAACAAACAGGATTTGTCAGGGGAAGAGGTACCAGAGAGCAGATACTGAATCTTCGCCTTATAGTAGAGAAATACCATGAGTACAATACACCTACATACATGTGTTTCGTTGACTACCAGAAGTCTTTCGACTGTGTGAGGTGGGATAAACTTGGGAGCTCAGCTCACCGCATAAATGTCTCTGTCTTACAGCAACTTAAACTAGAGAAAACACAGCGCCTGTCTTCAACCTGCCTGAGACGCATACTACAATACTTCGGCCACGTTGCTCGATGAGATACCGATAACCTGGAATGCTTGATGGTTATGGGGAAAATAGAGGGGAAAAGACCCAGGGGCCGGAGCCCTAAACGTTGGTCGTACCAGGTCTCGGAGGTACTTGAGATCCCAGTCAGTGCTGCACTCCACCAAGCAGCTGAGCGAAACCTGATGGAGACGGATGGTTGCGAGATGACACGAAGTCATGATCCTCAACAGTGCGGCAACGATAGAGAAGAATGTTAAATTAAAATCCACGTTGTTTTAATAATAAAAATATCTTTAATTCAAATAAATAAACGTGTCCGCTTGATGAAGGCCAGGCTCCGACCTACTCCACTCCAAACCATGATGGAATCTGAAACGTTCCAGTCAAATCTTGAGAACCGATTCGCTGCCATGGAAACCACAATTGACGTTGACGAGAACCTTGAAAATGTGGTTCGAATACTCAGGGAAGAAGGTACGAAATTTTGTAACATGCAGCGTAAGGGCGGGAAGTCTAAGCTTTCGGATAGAACTTTGGGGCTTATGAAGGAACGACGTGAAAACCCACCTGTCACTTCGTCAGGAAAACGTGCTCAAAACCAGGAGATCAGCAAACGCGTACGATATGACCTCCGGTGCTCCAACACTCACGCTATAGAAAGAGCGATCGAGCAAAACAGGGGGTCAAAAGTATTCGTACAATCTCTTGGAAGAAGCCACTTGACGAAGTTGACCACAGCAAGCGGGGAAGTCGTTGCTTCGAAGCCAGCGGTCCTCTCAGAGGTGGAAAATTTCTATGCCCGGTTATACGCTTCGCATGCACCTCGACCTGATCCCGGAAATGAGGATTCTAGAGTCACATTAACACGCCACTACACCGAAGATCTGCCAGAAGTCAGCATTGGCGAAATCGAGATCGCTCTGAGACAGCTTAAAAATGGAAAAGCCCCTGCAGAGGATGGCATTACAACCGAATTATTAAAAGCAGGAGGTAAACCAGTACTGAAGGAGCTCCAAAAGCTTTTTTATGCAGTCCTCTTCGAAGGGAAAACTCCGCAGGCGTGGAGTAGGAGTGTAGTCGTCCTGTTCTTCAAAAAGGGAGACAAAACCCTGCTGAAGAACTATCGACCCATTTCCCTTCTAAGCCACGTCTATAAGCTGTTTTCTAGAGTAGTCACGAACCGTCTTGCGCAAAGACTTGACGAATTCCAACCACCGGAGCAGGCTGGGTTTCGAAGTGGATACGGCACCATAGACCACATCCACACAGTGCGGCAGATTATACAGAAGACTGAAGAGTATAATCAGCCCCTGTGTCTAGCATTTGTGGACTATGAGAAGGCCTTTGACTCGATTGAGATCTGGTCCGTTCTGGAGTCCCTGCAGCGATGTCAAGTCGATTGGCGATACATCCAAGTTATAAGATGTATTTATGAGGCCGCCACCATGACCGTCCAAGTACAGGTGAGATAAGGAAACGTTATGTCTCCGAAATTGTTTACTAATGCAATGGAGGATATGTTTAAGACGCTGAACTGGAAAGGACGTGGCATCAACATCAATGGCGAGTACATCTCTCACTTGAGATTTGCTGACGACATCGTCATCATGGCAGAAAATCTGCAGGACCTACAACAGATGCTGAATGACCTGACTGACTCTTCTATGCGCATCGGCCTACGGATGAACTTGGATAAAACCAAGGTCATGTTCAACGAACACGTACTACCGGAACCGATTGCAGTATGCGGTGCCGTTCTCGAAATTGTTCCAAAATATGTATACCTCGGGCAAACATTGCAGTTAGGTAGAAACAACTTCGAGAGCGAGGTAAATAGAAGAGTTCGGCTAGGTTGGGCAGCGTTTGGAAAACTACGTCAGGTCTTCACATCGTCGATCCCGCAGTGCCTAAAGACGAAAGTCTTTAATCAGTGCGTCCTACCCGTTATGACATACGGAGCCGAAACGTGGACACTGACGGCACGGCTGGTCCACAAGTTGAAGGTCGCTCAGCGGGCTATGGAAAGGGCTATGCTCGGCGTTTCTCTGCGGGATCGAATAAAAAATGAGGTGATGCGGCAGAGAACCAAGGTTATTGACATAGCCCACCGGATTAGCAAGCTGAAGTGGCAGTGGGCTGGCCATATTAGCCGCAGAACCGATAACCGTTGGGGTAAACGAGTTCTTGAGTGGAGACCGCGTCTCGGCAAACGTATGATGAATAATGATGAAATAAATAAATAAGAATAATGCATATATTTATGAATTGTCCATTTTTTATTCCTACCACTCGTTTAGGGCGTCTTTTGGCTGAACAAAATAGAGCGAAAGAATCTTACCAGCTCTTAACACAAGTAGGTAATAACATTTACATGTGACATTACTAAATTAATATGTAACAAACAAATTGAAGGACTGTAACTTTAAAATAATCATAAACTTTATAATAGCTTTTAGTCATAGGTATATTTTTGACAACACTTTAAAATTTACTTATAGACGGGTACTTTAATTATATCGTGGAACTTTATTCAACTAGCAATACTTCTACCTAAATTATATTCTCCCTATTCACTTCCCTCTACCCCTCAACCCTTCCCTCCCTATGATCATATTCGTCCCTCAAAGGCCGGCAGCGCGCTTATAGCCCCTCTGGTGTTGCAGGTGTCCATGGGCGACGGTAATCACTTACCATCAGGTGATCCGTCTGCTCGTCTGCCCCTATCCCATAAAAAAAAAAAAACTTCTAGAGAGCACAAATACAACGTCTAGCACAGCGTAGTATGTAGTATTTAACGTCCAGTGCGCTGTATTACACTCTGTGTTAGACGTATATTTTTAACAGAATAGCAAAGCAGGTATGTAAACATGAGTCATATTAATTGTGTGTAACTGAAATGATAATGATATAAAAAAATATTATGGGTAATTTTACGTTATAATTATATTTTTATCAATGATCTTTAACAATAACCTACACCGTAGCGTTTCTTCCATATGTCTGTTCTGTATAGAATGTTCTCGTAAGTTCATCAGCATGATCAACAAGTATATTATCGGAAGGTCAAAGTAATTTTGATGAGGATTTTGCAAATACGAATCGTTTAATGTACCATTTGTCATTTTGATGATTGAATAAACCAGAGTCCCGTCTTCAATAGGTATTTATTTGTGTAGCTAACGAATTTTGTTGCTGTCCCAAATCCAATATTTATTTGTAAGAGACGATCTAAAATGGAGTAGTTCTTCAAATTTTAATTTCATTAGATAATATTGACAAATAAACCAACTGCGTTAGTAATATAGTTTTCAGATAACTCGTTACTTGTGAACTACTGAGACGATGCGTTTTTTTTTAGTATTCGTGTATTTACTTGTAATATTTATATTACAAGCCTTTTAATTATAGTTGAGGTAAAAAATAAGCTAGGAGCCCACAGGATCCACCTAAGGAGGCAATATTCTTACGTGAGCTCCTAA